GCCCTCCCTTATGCACGCCACTGTTTTAGGAATATTGACATGTTTCATAGTAATATTTATCTAATGTCAAAGTGTTGTGGCTCAAACCTTCCACAACTTAACTCTGGTTGCAAGAGTTAGTAAATGTGAGCTTATTTCACTTTTAAAGTCATTATAAACACTCCTCAGCCCTTTAGCTTTAAAAATAGTTCTCCACAACTGTTGATAAAAGTTTAGACTAAAGAACTGTAAAGGAGTACTGTATGTTCAATTATAACAATTATAACAAATTATATCAAAGTTGCATGATGTCTAAACTTTGATCTCTTTACAAATGTATTTCTAACATAAGTTTAAAAATGGTTTTAATAAGATAAAAGTTGATAGCGGGTTATATACTATGACTGCTTTATGAGAGATCAGTAAACCTCAACAATAATTTATTCTCACCCTGAACAATGTTTAATTCTGTGAAACTTTGTGCCAGAAAATATTCATGACAGTAGCACCCTCAAAAAGAAAATAGAAAAATATATTTACCTGACACAACACTTCCTTCAACATATCTGCACAGAGCTCATAACCCGCCACCTCCAGCTGGTCAATAATGTCCCAGTATCTCTCCGCGATCATGTTGTCAGTCTTCTGGTCGCAGCAGCCAAACTGTTCGTACTGGGTGCAAAACTCCAGGTGCCACGGCGGTTTGAAAGGTGGCTCGAAGTCCAGACACTGAGGATGAGCTGATGCCAACTGCACCGGGACGAGCAACATCACTGACACAATGAGGATAAACTCGGGAAGGCTCGGTTTGTCTTTGGTTGAGCTCGGACCTGCAGCCGCGCGTAAAACCGCGCACCCGGCTCCGCTTGGATGAAGCGCAGCATCCCGCGTACTTGTCATTTTTGCCGTCTGTCCCCGAAAGAGTTCGACTGTTTGCTCTCCTTTATGTATGAGCCAGAGAGTGTGTGTGCGTGTGAACACGCGTGCGCAAACCTATGTAGCTGTACGTGCGTCCCAGAAGCCCCCCTGACTCATTTGCCCTCCACCTCTCGCCACCTGCTCAAGGCCAGGTACAAACACACCTTGTCGCCGCTCCTGTCTTCCATCAGGCTGATTACTAACAATTAAAGCAAAACATATTCGTAATGGCGGTTAAGTTAATTGGATTTATTCTTTATTCTCCAACACGCACAGCTGTTTTCGAAACCGCAGCGAAGTTGGCAGAGGAATACGCACAATTACCTAGAAAGTGCGCACGCATACACACATGCGGCGGGACGCAGTGTCGAGGCATGCAAACATCAACAGGCTACAGAAACACAAACTATAATTTCGTCTTACAGTCATGTTAAAGCGCCTCCGGGCAGCTTGCTGTTTGTACAACAAGTCTGCAGCAGCTGCTTCATCCTATAGATCTACTGTCCCAGCATGTCAACTCTCATTTCAATACACAGTCAGAAGGCGTCTGTCATCAGTTTCTACCGGTGCCAAGGGAAAACCGGAGAGTAAAAGGAACTCTTTTATCCGCCTATTATGCTCATAGTGCACTGCAGCAATCTAACACAAAGCGATATGATTATGGGATATTGAATATTAAGGGCAATGTCAAGTAGAACTGTGTAATTACTGTTGGTTTATTTCATTTAAATAAATATGATAGTTTCATTTGGTTCTGCAGAGAAAATGTACTTAATTAAGAATATTTTTAAATTACATTTTCTCTCACAAGTGAACCAGCTCCTTACACATATAATCTCATTTATTGATCAATTCAGTCAGATAACAACAGTCTTAATTTATGAATGCGAATGTTTGAATGTTTCATGTTATCCTGACACCATCCTAGTATAGTATAATATCCTATATGTGAATATGTGCATTAAATTACAAAATATTACAACAATATATATAGAAAATAGAAAATAAGAGTGTGTAAAAAATATGTACATTATACTACAGTATATAGAAACAGAAAATAAGACATCCTAAAATATGTGTTATACAATATACAACAGAATGTAATGAATAAAAACTAATTAATAAATACTAATAATGCTTAAGAACAGGATCCTGAATAGGTGTGCTAAAGATTAGTGTACAGCCTAATTGCAGTATCAATGAAACCAGCGTATTGCACAATAATTAGAGTATTAACTGTTAATTCAGGGACAAGAAAACATCAAATTAGTCTAAAAATCATTGTAAGTATGTATTATTGTTCTTAAATATTAAAAAAAAGTACAAAATACAGACATATAATCGCATAAAAAGCATCATAAACTGCAAAAAAATCATCCAAATCACTGAGTTCACTATTTGGATTAATTGTACAGTTTTTAATACAATATTAATAAAATACTTAAAGGACAATTCCGGTGCA